GGAGGGAGGAAGGGAGGGAGGAGAGAGGAAGGGAGGGAGGGAGGGAAGGCATCCAAGGAGAGGAAGGTGCTTGAACTGACTCCAAGGAAAGGACCAGGATGGAGACAGGATGGAGAGAGAGACATGGATTTGGAGACGGGACCATGTCTGAGGAACTGAACGTGTGCAGAGAGGAAGAGGGTGGGATTGGGGGGGGGCAACGTGACACTGTCAATGGCCATGGCTGGATTTTGGCTCATGGTGACCCCCTGTGGGCAGAGCAGAACTGTGCCCAGAGGGTTTCCAATCCCTGTGAGCCTGTGGAGATGATGGCACATGGTTAAGCGTTCAGCTGCTGACCCGAGGTCGGTGGCTCGAATCCACCCATTGGCTTCACTGGAGAAAAACGTGGCACTCTGCTCCCGTAAAGATCACAGGCCTGGAAACCCGCTGGGGCAGCTTTACTCCGTCACATGAGGTCGCTCTAAGCGTCAGAACTGACTCAACGGCGCCCAACAAAACCTTACGGACACAGATCACCAGCCCTTTCTGCTCTGGAGCATCTGGGCGGGTTTGAACCACCAACCTTTCGGCTGGTAGCAGAGTGTTTAACCACGTGTACTTCCCAAGGACTCCACAGGGTTAAGATAAACCGTCTGGGAAAGGTGATGGGCTAATTAGCATCATTGAACTGCACTGAAGACTGTAGACATGGCGAGTGTTTTGTGGCCTAACATGTTCTACATTAATAATAAACACGATAAACAAGTGGTCCAAGGGTAAGAGGAAAAGCAGGCTGTAGGAATGGGTTCACTGAGGTCCAGCCCACTGTCAGAGTCCATCCCGACCGACAGCGCCCCTAGAGGACAGAGTGGAACTGCCCACAGGGTCTCCCAGGCTGTCAGTCTTCACAGAAGCAAAGACCAAACCACACTCCCTGCCCTGGAGTCCATCCCGACCCACAGCGCCCCTAGAGGACAGAGTGGAACTGCACCACAGGGTCTCCCAGGCTGTCAGTCTTCACAGAAGCAAAGCCCAAACCACACCCCCTGCCCTGGAGTCCATCCCGACCCACAGCGCCCCTAGAGGACAGAGTGGAACTGCACCACAGGGTCTCCAAGGCAGTCAGTCTTCACAGAAGCAAAGCCCAAACCACACCCACTGCCGTGGAGTCCATTCTGACCCACAGCGCCCCTAGAGGACAGAGTGGAACTGCCCACAGGGTCTCCAAGGCTGTCAGTCTTCACAGAAGCAAAGCCCAAACCACACCCACTGCCGTGGAGTCCATTCTGACCCACAGCGCCCCTAGAGGACAGAGTGGAACTGCCCACAGGGTCTCCAGGCTGTCAGTCCTTACAAAAGCCCATTGCTCCACCATTCTCCTGTGGAGTGGCTGGTGGGTTCGAACCTCCAATCTCTTAGTGAGCAGCCAAGCACTATAACCGCTGCGCTACTAGCAAGGCTCCTTGCACTGACGCAGAGGGAGACTGCGGTGCAGCCAAGCCGGGAGGGAGTTAAGGGGGTGGATGAGAGGGGAGGGGGTGAATGGAGGAAGAGAAGGGGGTTCTGGGGTGAGGAGGCCTGGATGGAGCTAGAGGCCGGGAGAGAGGGGGAAGGGTGTGTGCGTTGGGGGGTGCATGGGGGGCTCTGAGCAGAGGACCCCATAAGAGGGCTGGGGTGCAGAGAGGAGGGGGAGGGAGGAGGAAGGTATATGTGTTGGGGGGTGGATGGGGGCTCTGAGCAGAGGGCCCCAGAAGACGGCTGGGGTGCAGAGAGGGGCGGAAGTGGGAAGGGACTGGGCTTGAATGGGGATCCCTGAGCAGAGAACCCCATAAGAGGGCTGGGGTGCAGAGAGGGGCGGAAGTGGGAAGGGCCTGTGCTGGAGCGCGAGGCTGGCGGGGCCTGGGCCTGGAGAGGGTGGCGGGGCGCAGGCGAGCGCAGCGCGGCCGCCCCTACCTTCCAGGCAGCAGATCCTCCAGAGGCCGGAGTGGGTGAGGCCGCCCGGGTCCTTCCTGTCGGCGGCGCCCGCGGCCCCGCGGTGCGGGGGCCCGTCGTCGCCCGCCGTCAGGTTGGTGGTGTTGCAGATGAGCGCCCGCGCGTACAGCCAGTAGTCGGTGCTGATGGCGATGGTCATGAGGCCGAAGGCGGCGAAGGCGCCCACCGTCGTCAGCAGCACCTGCACCCCCTTCTCGCACCACGCACCCCGCTCCTCGTTCCAGCGCTTCAGCGACTCCAGCTTGACCACGGGCAGCCGGGGGGCCGGGGGCCACCACCGAGGCAGCGGGGGCGGGGCCGTGCCGGCGGCTGGGGGGGGTCACAGCGCAGGCAGAAGCGGGGGGCCCTGGGGCCCGCGGGGCTGGGGAGGGGGGCGGTGAGGAGGAGGCGGGCTGCCGGGAGGGGGTCAGAGGGCGGCCATGGTCTCCGGCTGGTGGGGGGCAGGGAGCGAGAGAAAGGGGTTAGGCAGGGAGGCAGACCCACCGCCCCCCCAAAAAAAACACACCCTGTTTTCTCTATTAAAGAAAAGGCTCTGTTTCACTAGAAAAATCTCCCCCTAAAACTCTCCCACTAAAGCCCCTAGAAGTCTCCCCAATGTGCGGGGCTCCGGCCGGCTGCTAGGCCCTTCTGGGGCTGTCCACCCCACGGGGAGGCTGTTCTCGCTGGAGACCCCCACTGTGTCCTCCTAAGGAACCCCACAAGGCGATCCCCATCACCCCCTTCTCCCAATCTTCCTGGAAGTCCCACCTCTGCCTTTCTATATCCTTCATTCAGGAGAAATCCTCTGTCCCCCCAACTTTGCCTCGAGTCTTGGAATAATTCAGGAACCGCAGCAGGGCTGCTTCCACAGCTCTTCCGCTGGGAGATGACCTCCCTCTGAACCCCTCCACCCCACAGTCTGTGGGTGATGTCTGAGGAGGCCAAGGTCACCCCATGCTGGGACCCAGGTTTTGTTTTGTTGGGTTTTTTTCTTCCTTCTCCTCCTCCTTGTCTAAAATTTCCAGGCTCTTAACTCTAGGAGTTTTGGGGGAAGAAGTCTGAGAAAGTGGTGTCAGGCAGGTAGGGACCGTGCCGAGAGGAAGGGCTGGTGTCGTTTGCCAAAGGCCAGCCCTTCTGTTCCAACAATTTCCCCCCACGCTTTCTCTACAATGTCTTCCACTTTGCGGGGGTCCCTCATTCCCTTCTCAGCTGAGAAAAAAGAAAAAGGAAACAGCTTTCCAGCTGACCCTCCCTAAGCACATCTCAGAATAGGCAGAGAATGTACCACCTCCACGAAGGAGCCTGGCGTGTCACAGTTAACCGTTTGGTTGCTAACTCAAAGGTCAGCAGTTTGAACCCACCCAAGGGCTCAGCAGGAAAAGACCTGCCTGGCAGTGGGCTTCCATAAAGATTACAGTCTTGGAAACCCCATGGAGCAGTTCTACTCTGTCTGTTGGGGTCGCTGTGGGTCAGAATGGACTCAATGCCTCACGCAACAACACCTCCACCATCTCCCTAGGCTCTTGGGGACCCCTGTTCCCCACTTTCATTTCTATGCCTCAGGACTGAACCTTGGAATGACCTGCGGCCCCTTGAAAGTACTGGTGCCCAGCCTGGTTGGTGCAAATGAGGACCACACGCTGGTGCTCACCAGAAGGCTGCAAGTTCTAGCCCACTCAGGTGCCCCTGGGAAGACAGGCCCGACAATCTCCTGTAAACCGTGTGGAGTGCGGTTCTATAGGGTCTCCGTGATTCGGGACTTCACGGTGACTCCATGGTCCAAACAGTGACTAAGAAGCACGCCTGCATCCCACCTGGGAAACTCTGAATTAACTGGTCGGGATGTGGCCTGAACATCCAAGGTTTTAAAAGCCCCCCAGGGGCTTCAAATGTGCAGCCAACACCCGACCCACTGGGTTAGAAGAAGGCCTCTGTCCCCACCACATTCTCTCTGAGCACCCCCACGGCCTCCTTCCTTCACCCCCTACTATGTCTTCTACTCAAGGAAAATTCCCCACTCTCCCCTTTGCTGCAAAAAGTCTTGCAAATCTGAACTCCTGTCTCTACAACTCAGACCAACTCAGCCTAAAACCATCACTTTCTAGTCTGCTAAGCAAAATGGCCCTTAGGACTCCACAGGGCATCTCTTAACCTTAAGAACCCTTTCCTGCAGACCCCAAATTATCCATTCAGAAATCTCCCCATCTCTAACCTGAACCCGCGCTTCTGTCCGAAGATAACACAGCAGCTCACACACACACACACACACACACACACACACACACACGTACTTTTTTGCCCATCCACCAGTTCTCACTGCCTCCAATTCCCCTTCACCACAGAGCCAAAAACCCAAAAAACAAACCCACCGCCACTGAGTTCATTCCAACTCCTAGCCACCCTATAAGACAGAGTAGAACTGCCCCATAGGGTTTCCAAGGCTGTAAATCTTTATGGGAGCAAGCAGACTACCTCATCTTTCCCATGGAGTGGCTGTGGCTTCGAACCACCGACCTTTTCGTTGGCAGCCCAATGCCTTAACCCGAGTCCCACTGGAGCTCTCTCACCGCGCAGCAGCCCCCCCAGTTCTGGGTCCCCCCAACTCACCTATGTGCTCAGGACCCACACGCTCAACCCTCCTCTCTCTCCTGCTCCCAGGAGCCAGCCTCCTCTTGTGACATCAGAAACAATCCCTTACTTTTGTAGGTTCCTCCACCCACTCTTGCTCTCAGCGTCTCGTCTCCTCAGGAAAACCCCCCATGGCCCCCGCGGGCTCCCTTCCTGGGGGCGCCCCCACTTCTCCCCCACCCCACTATTTCATCTGTGCTGCACAGACACTGTAACCCCTAACGTCTTCAAAATGTACAGGGAGCCCCGGTGGACTGTGTCTCTCAGAAAAATGTCTTCCGCAGGACCCCAAGTGTCACCCCAATTAGGGACAATCTCCACCCTGCCCCCCTCACTGATCCACTTGTTTCCCTCCTCCATGGCCTGCCCACCACCACGCCCCCACCCCTGGCCTTTTCAACCGACCCTGGCCCTTCTCCCAGGCGCCCCGTCCCATACTTCTGACACAAGTCCTTCTTAGACTTTTGCCCCACAAGCCCCTCGAGTTAAGAACCCGGAAACCTTTGAGGAGGAGGAGGGAGGATGAATCCTGGGTCCCAGCACAGGGTGACCTTGGCTTCCTCAGTTTCGTCCCTGCCTCCACGGCCCCCCACCAGCTGGCCCAGCCAGGGTCTGTTCCCCCAGGGGCTGTGGGAAAGGGCTGTCTGGGAGGGGGTGTCTCTGTGGCAACAAGGCCTGGTTGCCCCACACATCGTTTTCCCTCCCCCATCCCACATGCGCCCCTAACCTCGGCCCCCCATCGGTCAACACTCAGGACGCACACCTGCCCCCAGCCTCCCTTCCCCACCGGCCCCTGCCCCTCTCTCCTCTCCGAAGCCAGACTTTCTTTCCCTCTCTCTCGGTCTCCGGCCTCTTCTCCCTCTGTGGGTACCCCTTCACCACCAGCACGCCAGCCTCCACTGTCCTGGCAAATCTCTGCTCCCCCTGGGGTGAGCCTGTGACCCCAGGAAACACCCCTGCTCCTGTTGGGTCCCCTACAACGCAGGAGGAGAAGGAGGTAGGAGAGTTCCATCCTAGAGCTGAAGATCTGTACAGCTTGTTGATTTGGGGGGCTGTCTGTTTATCTTGGGGGGACTCTTCAAGTCTGCCTGTCCTCAAGAGCAGAGCAAGAGAGAGCCGGGGACCCCCCAATTCTAACGCTTCCGGATGTGGGGGTCACCACCCCCTCTCCCTCCGAAGGAGGCCTAGAGAAGCTTAAAGCAGTTTGATCTTCAGATTTTAGGGGGGGTCACAGAACCTCACTCTTACATCCACCCACCTCCGATGAAGAAAAAGGTCTGTCTCACCTCAGTTAATGACAGGTCAAATCTCCGAAGCTCTGGGGGGGGGAGGGCGAGCCCCCCCTGTCGGCACCCCCCAAAAGCACCCTTTTGGCCCCCAATATCCTCGCTGCGCCCCCTCCCCCCGCAGCAAGGGACCCAGGCGTCCGACCCGGTTGGGGGAGTGGAGATGTGGAGGCGTACGCAGAAGGGGGGTTGTCCAGGTGGCAGGGGAAGCTGGGGGGGGCAGCTCTGAGCTGGGGACCCAGGGCGGTGGGGGTCGGGATGGGGGAAAGAGAAAACAAAAAGGGGGTGAGGAGACAATTTGGTTCTGGAGTCGCGCTCGCTGGGTAAAGTGCGGAGCCCGGAGGGCGAGCGAGGCGGGGAGCAGGGAGGGAGGGGGAGGGGAGCCCCTGAGGGGTGGGGGGGCCCCGGGAGAGGAGACGGATGGGGGCAGCGGAGAGGCTGGGGGCAGGGTCTGGGCGGCAGGAGGGAGCTGAGAGGAGAGAGACCCAGAGAGGGAGCGAGAGAGACCAGAGACTGGGCAGCGAAATGGGGGGGCCGGATTTGGGGGGGCAGCTACCGTAGCAGAAGGAAGTTGGAGACACGCGCACACGCGCGCACACGCGCACACACACCCCGAGAAACACCGGAGAAGGCAGGGGACGGAGACCCAACCAGAGGCGCCCAGAGACGGGGGAGGGGAGCACGGGGAGGGTGGGGGTTCGGGATCCGGGCAACGGAAGGAAAGAAGAGAGAGGCAGACCGTCCTCCAGAGAGGGGGAGGAGGGACAGATGGGGAGAGACAGACAGACAGACAGACGCGCGGAGGGAAGGAGGGGCAGAGAAACCGAGGAGGGGCGCGGGCGTGGGGAGAGGGGTGCAGGCCTCAGACATGGCGAGGAAAGGGGGTGCACGGAGTCCAGGAGGAGAGGAGGCCCCGGGGAGGAGGTGCCTGCACACAGGCCGGTCGCAGGAGCGAGAGGGGACCCCCCAACAGACACACAGACGTGGGGAGACGAGACCCGGAGGACAGACAGCACGCAGGCTGCGAAGCCACCGCGGAGCAAACAATAACGGAGCGGGGGGGGCAGGCTGGGACGAATTACGGGGGTCACAGACAACGGGCGCCCCGGCTCCCTCCCGCGCCAGCGCCCCCACCCCCACTGGAAAGCCAGCGCCCCCACCCCCACTAGCCTCCGTCGCTCTTCGGCTGCGCTCGCAGCCGCCACCGCCTCTTCCTGTCGTCATAGCAACGGGGTCCGGGCGCTGTGCCAGGGCTGGCGGCGGCGGCCGGAAATGAGGGGAGGGCCTTTCTGCAAAGACCCTAGCAGCGCCCTTTTCCCAAAATCCAAAGGAAAGTCCAACCCCTTGGATTCTTCCCACGCGAAATTCCAAGGGCAGTAATCCGCAGCCACCCCCACCACACACACACACACACATAGAAACAAAATTGACATTAAATGTTGGTGTTTCATCAACAAATGTGTGGGTTTTTTTTTTTTTTTTTTTTTTCCTTCTTCTTACCCCCATACTCAAACCTAATGGGAAGGAAGAAGTGTTAGATTCCCCCAAGATGGTGGGGGAAGGGGAACAGGATGTCTCGAGGAAACGTGTCTGGGGTGGGGTTAGGGGCGCTATGGGACGGTTTTGAGAAGATGGGCTTATCAGTTCTAGAACCAGCCCATGAGGGGCAGGCGGACCACTCGGAAACCCAACAGAGAGTTGGTGTTGGGTTCAAATCCCAGAGCTACCCTGGTCCACTAGGTGACCTTGGGCAAAACCCTTGTGCTGTTCACACTCAGTTGTTCTTGGTTACAATGGGGGCAGAAGTTGCCTCCAATTAAACAGGAAAATTGATGGGAGAGGCCTTTGCATGGCTCCTGCTGAGCAGTTATTCGGGACTCTGTCCTCTTGTGGGTGTTTGTCAAAAATCTAAGAGCTGGTCATGACCGTGACCTTGGGTGAGGAAGTTTCCATGCTACCTTGCATCCTGGGTTTCTTACAGTATCTTTGCAAGATGGATTGCAATTGTCCCATACCAGAGATGAGAACTGAGGCTTCAAGATGTGTGGTCACACCAGGAATGAAAGGTCGAGCCAGGGTTGAAGCAGCCTCTTTGGAATGGGGACGGTCACCAGGAATGGGTGGACTGGAGGCATTTAGTTCAACACGCCTTTGTTGCTCTGGTGATGCAGTGGTTAAGGCATTTGACTGCGAACCAAAAGGTCAGTGGTTCAAACCCATCAGCCACTCCGCAGAAGAAAGCTGAGACAGTCTGCTTCTATAACAACTTGCAGCCTTGGAAACCCACTGGGGGTCACTATGAGTCAGAATCAACTCCTCGATGGTAGTGAGTTTTATTTTATTTTACTTTATTTTATTTTATTGGGATAAGGCGTTCTGGTGGCATAGAGGTTGAAACATTCAGCTGCTAACCAAAAGACCAAAGACTAGAACCCACCAGGTGCTCAAAGGAGGAAGCGGTCTGCTTCCATAAAGACTGGCCGCCTTGGAAACCCCACGGGGCAGTTCTACTCTGTCCGAAAGGCTCGCTGGGTCAGATCAACTGGAAGACGGGGTTTGTTGTAATAGTTCTCCTTCCCAGGACAGCCGACCCCAGAAACAATCTCACACCTCGAGTTTGCTGGTTCCGTCTGCTGACGTAGCCAAAGCTCTGTGTACTCAGCACTCCGATCTCCAAGGGAATTGCTTTAGGTCAGCTGGTTCAGTTCTCACCAAGCCCATGACGGCATTCTGACACCCTGGTTTAGAAGCAAAGAAACACAAGCCCCAAGGGGAAGGGAGCCTGGCATTCGCTCATCTGAGAAACTCTTTGATCAACCTCTGCTCTTGCCAGGGAGGAGAACACGCAGCAAATAGCACAGTGGACGGAGGGCTCGATGCCACCGTCACGTAGATCGTGGGCCCCGTCTTCCAAACGGCTTTGAGAAGTGGGCTTTGCTAGGACGCCCGTTTTAAAGGTGAGCAAACTGAGGCCCAGAGAGATGAGCAGAACACACAGCCAGGAAGCCGGAACCTGTGCTGCTTCTATAAGCAGCTCTACTCTTCGGGGACAGGAGGAGATTCCTAACCCAAAAGCTAAACAACAGAAGCACATCCTTCCGAAGGATGACAACGGCGAGGACAACAATGAGAGAAGACAGAGCTGCCAGCCTCGGCACTGCTGACCTTTCGGGCAGTGAATTCCTTGTGAAGGAGCTCTGGTGAGGCAATGGGCAAAGCACTCTGCTGCTGACCAAAAGGTCGGCAGGTCGAACCCACCAGCTGCTCTGCGAGAGAAAGATTGACGGCCTTGGAGACCCTGTGGTGCAGTTCCACTCTGTCCTCTAGGGGCGCTGTGGGTCAGAATGGACTCCACGGCAGTGGGTGTGGTTTGGGCTTTACTTCATGAAGATTGACAGCCTTGGAGACCCTGTGGTGCAGTTCCACTCTGCCCTCTAGGGGCGCTGTGGGTCGGAATCAACTCGATAGCACTGGGTTTGGTGGGGTTTGTTTTGTTTTGTTTTCTGTTGGTTAATTTTGCGACCTGAAGCGATACATATACACTGTGATTCTGTGTTGCAACAAGCAGAGAGCGTATCTCTTGACTAGCCCTTTATCTTACCCACAGGGAGCAGGCATTTGACTGCCAACCAGAAGGCTGGCTGTTCAAATCCACCAGCCACTCCTCGGGAGGAAGGTGGGGCAATCTACTTCCGTAGTGATACCGCCTCAGAAACACAAGGAGGGGTCGCTCTGAGTCGGATCCGTCTCCACGACAGCGGTTCCGTTGCATTGTTGCAGGGGGCGGGACCATGAGGACTGCAGAGTGAGGGCTCTTTCTACTTCATTCCCACGTCTGCGTGCATTTCTCTTCCCACAGTTTTGACCGGAGATGAATCACCTACATCCCGACCTTTGAAAAAGTCTTCCACCCTCATGTCCCCCTGATCCCATACGGTAGGCAAAATGCGAAGGTGACCCCAAGGTTCCCACCGCCTGGTACAGCAAACCACACAATCTATTGTTAACCAAAAGGGTGGTGGTTCGAGTCCACCAGTTGTTGTTGTTGTTGTTATGTGCCGTCGAGTCAAACCCGAGTCATAGCGACCCCTCCTTGGGTTTCCGAGGCAGTATCACTACGGAAGTAGGATTGCCCAACCTTCCTTCCGAGGAGTGGCTGGTGGGTTTGAACCGCCAGCCGTCTGGTTAGCAGGCAAGTGTCTTAGCCACTATGCTACCAGAGCTCCCCGAGTCCACCAGAGACACCTCAAAAGACATGGCTGCTGATCTACGTCTGAACAGTCAGCCATCGCCAGCCCCCGGAGCACAGCCCTGCTCTGATGTGCACGGAGGCACCAGGCGTCAGAATCGACTCCATGGAAACTGGAGAAAAGAAGTGAATGCCTCCGTGTGCCTCTCCCGACCCACAGCCGGTGCCTCTGTGGTGACCCCTGCCCTCCCAGCGCCCGTCCACATCCTTTTCCTCCTCTCTGCTCTGCTCTTGCTGCAGCCATTGGGTGCAGGCTATGCCCCTGGTCTCCCTCCAGAGCAGTTTCCAAATGGCCCCTAAGATACCTTCCTGGCATTCTGCGTTGACCGGTCTACTTCTGCCTAAAATTAATTCTCCTGTGGCTCTCTACTGCCCTGGGAGAAAATCTAAACTCCTCACCTACGTCCTCTGTCAAGGGCACTAAATGCCCGACACCGGCTGCCCTGGAGTCGATCCTTACTCATGGCAACCCCACGTGTGTCACGCGGTGGAACCGCGCGCCCCAGGACTCTCTTAGCTGCAGTCTCTCCAAGGAGCCCTGCTGGCCCAGTGCTCACTAGCGAACGGAAAGGTCGGGGGTTGAATCCACCGTCCCACTCTGTGGAAGAAAGAGGCGGGGGTCGGCTTCTGTAAAGATCACAGCGTCGGAAATCCCACGGGGGACCTTCGACTCCATCCCGTAAGGTCACTGTCAGAATCCACTCCACGGAGACGGTGGGGTTTTGATTTTTGCTTTTCACCTTTTCTTGCCATGAGTTGGAATCAGTATGACGGCCATGTTGCCACTGAGTGGATGTGAACCGCCAACCTTTAGGTTAGGAGTTGAGTGCAGACCGTTTGCTCCAGTCAGGAACCCGTGTCAGGAGCATAGCCTCCCTGTACGCTACCCCTACCGCTGCGTCCGCAAAGCAGAACAGATCCCCCTACCGTGCCCAGCCCCTGAATGATTCGGGATTTCTGTGTGTGGCTCTCTTGCTTAGAATCTCCTTCCACCTTCCAGCCCTATGACAAACCCTCTAGTCATGCCTCAAGGTTCAACTAAATGCTTCTTCCTCCAGGAAGCCCTCCCTGACTTCTCCAGGCTGCCTTGGGAGTGGGGGTCCACCTGTCCCTCCGCCGTGTCCTATGCCCCCTCCAGTGCTACAGCACTGGTTAACCTATTGCCATGGAGTCAGCCCCACCTCAGACTCCTGGTGCCCCCTGTGGGTCACAGGGGTTTTGATGGGTTGGCATGTCCATGTTGCCGACCACGGTGGGAGCTGTTCTAGGAGGGCCCAGCCCTGGTAGGCAGAAGACTTCAGCCCTCCCACGCTGAAGGAGGGAGCTCTGGTGGCGTAGTGCCTAAGGCACTTGACTGCTAACCAGAAGGCTGGTGGTTCAAGCCCACCAGCCACTCCTCGGAAGGAAGGTTGGGCAATCTACTTCTGTAGTAATACCGCCTCGGAAACCCAAGGAAGGGTCACTATGAGTCAAGTCA